GCTGTGCGTGGTGGCATGCGCCTGTAATCCCAGCTAAGGCAGGAGAATCACTTGAACCTGGGAGGAGGTTGTAATGAGCTGAGATCACGCCACTGCATTCCAGCCTGGGTGAGAGAGCGAGACTCTGTCTCAAAAAGAAAAATAAAAAAATAGACTGATCAAATTTTCACTTTTTCTCAAATTATGGCATCAATTTCAGGGACACATTTTTATATTTATCATCTTCTAAAACTTTATAAAATTTTTTTAGTGTACAAAAGTTTAGATCTATCTACTAGACTGAAAATACCCTGCTTCCCTTTTCTCTTTTTCCTTACATTTACTTACTTTCCAGGATGATTGCTGTTAGTAATCAGTGTCATTTTCCAATTTCAGAGCTAGGATTACAGTGTTTGAAGAAGGGAGGCAAGAATATCCTCCATTTTCTTTTGCCATAAAGAAGAAAAAGGTTTTACTTTTCCTCCATAGTCAGGCTCCTGGTAGGTTTCCTAGATGTGTTACCAGTATCTCAAACTTGAAATGAGATAATTCACCCTAATTGCCCCATTTCAAGAATCACAGTTGTCACCAAGACACACATCCAACTAATGCAGGAAAGAAAGGACCTGGAATGATCTATACTTTTTCTGTCTTAAATTGACTTAAAATCTTATATATGAGTCTAGTAACAGATACACACATGCACATACACGTTTCCATAAGTATAAAAGTTATATATATCTTTTCTTTAAATTATACAGACCTCTAGTGATAATCATTAAAGACTTAAACCTGGCATGGCAAAATTTTTCAAGTTCTGTCAACTCTGCTAATATTGCAATGCTGCGCAACATGCTGTGTTGGAAGATTCTAGGTTATGATGGGCCAAGGTAGAAAAGAACATCACAATCTCTTAACTATGTCAATAGGATAGTTATTGGAATAGGTAAAAAAACAATCTATTTGTTATCCATGACCTAATCAAATTATCTGTGCAAAAACTCCTCCTTTCTTCTTTTTAATGAAAGAATATATAAACACACATTCAATGAGCAGAATTTCATTGAACACTTCATAATTTCTAATTACGAGACAATGTATTATGTTTCAGTCATGAGTTAATAATTAAGCATTAGTAAAACTTATTAGTTCAATTAAATTGAAGGTGAGAATAAGCCAATTTAGGAAAATAAAACAGTGCCATTATTTTGAAGTAACTTACTGAGAAGGATTAGAAATAGGGAAGTTGTGTTCATGGTCCTAGGGAGCACATTCACAAACTATGGTGTAAAAGTCAACCCTAGAGTTGCACAAGACACAACTCACACAACCATATGTGGCAATCCTGGTGTCTGAACTATGAAAGAAATAAATAGTATAAAATATAATAGTGGCAATACTTGTTTACTTCTTTATGGAATATAAAGGGAAGAGGAGTGCATCAACATTATTGAAGCATATATTAGTTTAGGATTTTATATTCTGTTTGTCGTTACTCATCAAATAATTTATTTTACAATTTTAAACTGTATTTTTAAGATAAATAATCAAATATAATGAAAACTTTAATACTTCACCTCCCAAAAGTACTAGAGATTTAAAATTAGCAATGTTCAAATTAAAGGTATTTTACTGATCCTTGACACTCTACTTGTTTTTAAAAGACTATAGTGTGTCTGGGTGCAGTGGCTCACATCTGTAATCCCAGCACTTTGGGAGGCCGAGGTGGGTGGATCATGAGGTCAGGAGTTCGAGACCAGCCTGAACAATATGGTGAAACCCCATCTCTACTAAAAATACAAAAATTAGCCGAGCATGGTGGCACAAGGCTGTGATCTCAGCTACTTGGGAGGCTGAGGCAGGAGAATTGCTTGAACCCAGGAGGTGGAGGTTGCAGTAAGCCAAGATCACACCATTACACTCCAGCCTGGGTGACAGAGAGAGACTCCATCTTAAAAATAAATAAATAAATAAATAAATAAATAAATAAATAAATAAATGGCTACCGTGTGTGAATGGAGACCAACAGGCTGAAATTGTCCGCAAGGCAATAATAATTCTTCTGTCTTCAACAATCTACTTAAAATGTTGAAACTGGGTTGTTTACCAACATCGTAAGGCATGCAGACAGCTCACAAGGAGTTCTATGTTCTAAAGTTGGTTATCTTGGACAATTACAACTCCTGGACATACAGCAGGTTGAGTAAATTCTGGATAACATATAAGAGGTAGAAGAAGGTAAAAAGTCCTACCATGGAAAATTACTCCCTTTCATAGAAGAACAAGATGTCAGTGGAATTCCAGTCTTGCCCTATATTAGCCTTCTTTGTTGTTCTAGCATGACTCTTACTGCTTAGAATTCTTCATCTACAATGTTTATAAGTGTTAATGTATAGACATGTTAGCATTTCTGTGGGCTTTAATACCAAATATCAAAAGAAACTTAGATCACCAAGTGATTTCATAGAATAAAAAACACTGGCAGTTCATTTTTGCCCCTGGCGGTTCTCCCATTCTTTGCTTTCTGCTGACGCAAGCAAGGCAAATGGGATAAATTTATGACTTTCATTGATGGGAAAATATACTAATAAAACATTGAGAGACATATCAGAATAGCCCTCATGACATTTATATTCTAACATAGAAACCAACAATAAGCAAGATAGACACACACACACACACACACACACACACTCACACACATAAAATATCTGAAGGTGATAGGAGCTATGAGGAAAATAAATAAGTGAAAAGGGGTAGGGTATAATGGAACAATGAATTATAATGTTAAATACAGTGGTTAGTGATACTATGTACAAAATATAGTAAGACTGTATGATAGAAGGTAAAGGGGGCAGCTACTTTAGATTGTGTGGTTGGGGAAGAGTTTTCTGCAAAGCTAACATTAAAGCTGACAGCTGGATGCTAAGGAAACAGCTATGTCAACACTTTGGAGAAAAATCTTCACAGGTGCTTAATGAACAGTGAGCCTGGATTGTTGACTGAACAAAAGCCAGCATGTCTGAGGTGCAATGATAAGAAGTTAGATATACAAGATGAAATCATAGAGGTAGGTATGGCCATGTCACACCAGTCACGGTAATATTTTCATTCTTCAACTGTGTCTGTATATATGGTGCATCTTGATTGTGGGGTATTAGCCCCCAAATTTTACCTGGATAGCTATTTTATCCCCTGCATCACTCCTCATGCCTTTAGTCAGCCATTCCATCATTCCATCAGTCAAACTATCAAATAAATATTTATTGTGCAAGGCATGATGCTAAGATGGGGATATAGTGTTGGCCAAAAGAGATACTACCACCTAGCCCTATCCTCACACAGTATATATTTCAGAGGAGAGTATATAAATGAAATAATTACAAGAATCATTATGTCTAGGAAGTGAGCAAGTGAGATGTATATATGTATATGGCATGTGTATATACATATCAATTAATGACTATGCAGAAAATCATCCCTAGATATTTCTATTATATTTTCCATAATATATTTAAACCATACATTAATATTCTGCTTTATAATTTTCTAAGTCCTTTCATATGCATTACCCCATTTAATATTCACCATAACTGTGATAGAAGCTGATCAGTGATAACTTTCTTCATTTTAAAGATGAATAAACTGAAACCTTGAGAATTTAAGTGACTTGAAGTCATGAAGTGTGTTAGTAATGTACAGTCCTAGTCTCATTTCTGTACTATATATGTTATCAGAGGTATGGTCTGAACTAAATACAGTAAAATTCCTTACACAATACAGCACTAGGCATTTAGTTTGGAGGCAAAAGGAAAAGAAAACATAGCATCCTCATTCTTAATACATATGAGATCTAGTTAGGGAGATGTTCAGATGAGCACCAGACAATAAATTGTGCAGAAATTCAGTGTGCATATGAAGTTAAGGAATAATCAGAACAGTCTGCAATTATTCTATAACCTTGTCTTGAGAGAAATTAATTTTTAAACTGGACATACAAATAGATTATGTGACTAGATCTTGATACTTTTAAATTCTTGAAATTCTCTGGTTTTATTTTTCTTTTCCCATTCTTAAAACCACTGCCAATCAATGAACCTTACCCACCATTTCCTCTTAGTTTATTGCTTATTTAGAAATCTACAGTTTCTTCATTGTGTAGATCTATCTTAGCTGCGTGCTTTCTCTGTTGAAGACTCTGCCAGACACTCCAGAAAACTTTACTCAGCATTCTCTTCCAATTGTCTTATTCCCAGCTCTAAGCCTGATGCCAAGATTTCTATTTGAACGACTTCTTCCTAGAATGCTAAATTGTCAACCTTTAGGAAAGCTTCATTCATTTAACCTTCCTCTATTTCTTAGAAAATCAGTAGAGAATTCTACTCAGTATGCAACCCTGAATTTGCTGACCTACTAAATAAACATTCTCTGTTGCCGTCACATAGTAGAGTGAGTTTATTTTTCCAATTTTTGCTTAAAGTCAACAAATGTCTGGCTTTACTAATATTGATTATTTTATATTATGTTTTATTATGAGCCAACAACTGGCATACCATCACATGAAAATACATTTGATATGTTTAAATGATATCATTGTCTTATTTCAAATTATTGCATATCTGATCTCTTTCCCTTTCCACTATACCAGGAAATAATTTCCCTATTAATTGCAAATTGCCAACGATAACTTTTCAAGTGATTAAGATGCAATAAAAAAAGTCTACAACTTCAATTATATATTTATGTTTATAAACATGTCTTTTTCTTCATGACTATGAACTGGTGCCTGGCATGACAGCAGCATGACAAATATTGCTGTTAAGCCATCACTATATGACAACATGCCAGGTCCTATGTTAAATGGTTTTGGTATCTTATTTTATTTTAGCTTTGTATCGACCTATGGATAGATCATTGGTTTGCAATATGAGTTTCCTTTTAAAAAGTCAGTGAAGATCAAAGGTGCATTTTAAAATAGAAGCTGATAAGAAACATCATTGTAAAAAATGAAAGACACTTACGGGAACCAGGAATTTTTTAATCTCTTCCAATGCATGACTCATACGTGAATAAGCTTCCCCAGGTGGAGCAAACACTTCAATTAATACATGAAGCTCATCACTCAAGTGGGCATATTTGGCTTCCCCACTCTTCCTTAGTTCTTCTTCCTGTGAAAAAGGTTATTTTTAGAAATACAAATCCACTCATTGTACATTGATTTAACATTTACTGAGAATATGACAAAGGGGCATAATTTAAGCAAATTTTCCATAAGTAGAAAGAAACCCTTTGAGAAATAAAAATCTGCTACAAGCCATTTAAACATTTTAAAATCATTTTTGAGTGTTTGAATGATTTTAAAAACTGCCATAATTATCATCTACAACAGATTTTAATCAGCTAAATGAAAATGCTAAACCCCTGAAAACAAGTCACAGAATTGCCATTAACACTGTAGTCTACATGACTACTTTCTGGAAGGAAAGAATTGTTTTGTGCTTGATGTTTAGCATTTTGCAGATAGTAAGTGAAAGATTATCACTGTGTTCTTTAAGAAAACTAGAACTTTCTAGCTACTTTTTGAGAAGTTAGGAAGGTTACTTGATTGTGATAAAAAGTAGGCTAACTATACAAGTCAAGGCTTATTTCCAAGTCTATGTTCTCACCAGCCCAGATTATCAGCAAGCCTCATACCCACAGCTTTTCTATCTCTTGCTGCCTTTATTTATTTATTTATTTATTTATTTATTTAGTCAATAGGGGAATATTAAAGGGTGGTTGTTTAACATTTTGCTGGCATTGATTCTGCATAGGCTACATAACTTCTGGTTAACCAATGATACTAGGTTGGTGCAAAAGCAATTGCCATTAATTGCTTTTAATGGCATTATTTTTAATGGCAAAAACCGCAATTGCTTTTGCACCAACCTAATACATTTCTATTGGAAGAGACTTTTCCTAGTGTTGTGCCCAAGTCATTATTGAAACCTGGTTAATTCAGTACAGGTGCAGCACAAATCAATATATGATACATATATTTTGTTAATGTATACTAAGTACTTTATACATTTCATCTTCAATCAAAATCATTTTGTACATATTCACATGTTTCAGATTATGAAACTGCGGTTAGAAGACTTAAATAGCTTCAGCCAAATTTGGATCCGGACTCAGTTCATTTTGTAAGCAGATTTGCATTTTTTAGAATTTGAAGATATAAAAGTTGGTGGAAAAGTTTACCTAAATAACATTAATTATGTTTTATCTTTCTTGCCCCTCACAGAAACAACCAGCAGTTATTTCACTAAATTTCAAAACATAAAACTAAACATGTAATTCTTGGTTTTATGTAGAGATTAGAGACATGACATGAATAGACCTTGCCTGGATTTAAAAAAGAACAAATTTGCTGTTGATGTCATGTGAGTTAACTGTGTAACCCATGTTAATGTGAGTGTTTACCTGATCAGAAATGCGCATTGTTTTAAAAGATGAAGGATCCCTGAAAGAGATGGAAAGGCATCCCTGCGTTCCTGTATATGTGCCCTTCACCTACTTAAATCCTTTTGATAATAGCACCTTGTAGCCTGGAAATCCACTCTTCACTTCTCTAAGGATACTTTCAAACTCTACCTAGGACTTGAGAGCTTTTCTTAGTGCCCAATTATCAGTTTGGGGAGGAGAAGCAAAACTAGACTGAATGAAAATACACTCATGAGATGTAGTAAACATTCATTTTCTCTTCGGGTCCTGCTAAGGTGCAAGCTGCTTGTTCATTCTGGGGCCAACTGGTTTTGGCACACACGATGAAATAATTAAATCAGAGATTTCTTGACACTGTCCCTTTCTATCACTTCCTATGTTGATTCCCATGTGGTTATTTTTGTGTTACCCTCTCCTTACACCTAGAATTTCCTAGGGAACTCAAGTAATTTTTAACTGTATTAAGCAAAATAATATGGTTATTGATTGATATTACCTAGAGTGACATGACTAGCTCATGGTGGAGCTCAATAAAATGAAGAAAACAGCAGTTAATTGACCCTACTATCCTTGGAAGACACAGTGGTGATGGTCATTTGCTACTTGGGATGACCCTTTGGAATCACATCTTCCAGAAGCAGTATGTCCAATAATTTTATAAACCCATCTTAGAAAAAGGGAAGTGGCAGGATAATAGGATCATCCTAGGGAGAAGGTCAGCAGTAAGACATATGAATAAAGATCTCCATGACATGAATAAGTTTAAGGAAAAGTGCTGTGCCTTGATATGTATATGCAAACATCTCCATAAACCTTTTTAGTGCATAAACAGCAGCATTGCCGCTAGGCTAGCACGTCCCACCTTCAGCCCTAAGGCGGTTTTCTCCTTTCTCAGTAAACAGAACATACAATTGGGTTTTACACTGAGATGTTCCATTGCCCAGGGACAGGCAGGAGACAGATGCTTTTCTCTATCTCAACTGCCAAGAGGCCTTCTTTCCTCTTATACTAGTCTTCCTCAGCACAGACCCTTCACGGGTGTCAGGCTGGGGGATGATCAGGTCTTTCCCTTCCCACGAGGCCATATTTCAGACTATCACATGGGGAGAAACCTTGGACAATACGTAGCTTTCCTAGGCAGAGGTCCCTGCGACCTTTGGCAGTGTACGTGTCCCTGGGTACTTGAGATTAAGAGAATGGTGATGACTTTTCACAAGCATATTGCCTTCAGGCACTTGTTTAACAAAGCACACCCTGCACAGCCCAAAATCCGTTACACCTTGAGTCACCACAGCACATGTCTCTTGCAAGGGCAAGGTTGGGGGTAGGGGCACAGATTAACAGCATCTCAAATACAGAACAAAATGGAGTCTCTTATGTCTACTTCTTTCTATATAGACACAGTAACAGGCTGATCTTTCTTTTCCCCACAATTTACCCTAGGTAATGTGATGAAGAAATAATTGGAAACATTGATTATATAACCATAGTTTGGACTGGAATGTCATATTTGAGAATTATGTACATCAAATCAGATATGATCAGGCAGTTTAGAGTAGAGTAACATTTTTTCTTTTTTTTTTCTTTTTGTTTTGTGACTAAGTCTCACTATGTTGTCCAGGCTGGTCTCAAACTTCTGGGCTCAAGTGCTCCTCTAACTTCGGCCTCCCAGATTGCTGGGATTATAGGCGTGAGCTAAGACTGACTTTATAGAGCCACTGCTTACAAAGGTCTCTTGGAAAAACTGGCCTGATACCTAGATTACAGGGTTTCTAGCCTTAAAGATAAGTAACAAAGGTCACTTCTGGGTGGGCTTAGGATACTTGGGATAGTCTGGGGACCTCGAGAAGAGAGGAATTCACAAAAATTTATAGGTACTGCAGGTGAAGTAAGGTGGTTGGTTCTTGGCTTGGTTTCACAGCATTGAGAAGACTTTTAAAAGTCCAATCTGAGATTCCTTATGTTAATAAAAAACTTCAGCAGAGGAAACTTAAAAAGATCCATGTGGTCAGTTATCATTATTGCTTCACTTAGGTTATAATCAAGCCAAATCAAATGTAATCAGGACTTGTTTTGCAAACAAGAATAATTTTCCTTTGATTACCATTGATTAAAAATCAGGTGTACTGTAAAGACAAGGTTTATGTTTCAATGGAAAACTATAAACTACTCTTACAGGTTACTAGATTCTAATCTTTATTGTTTTTTAGCTACTTGCATCTCTTTGTAAACTGGGTACTACCATCTTCTTAATTTTGTCATCAATTAACAGTTCTACTTTTTCTACCACCCTCCTTACTTGGAATCACTGAGAATTAAAACTGCCACTTTCCCAAAATCCCGTAACGAAAGCTTTCTCACTTCACGTAAACACCAAAAGATTTATTGCTGAAAGAGTTTGGGCCACTCAAAAATGTCACCAGAACACTTGCACCTCCCATGCTGTGCTCCAGAAAATAACCATGACTACAGCTATACCACCTCTGTTCTCCTTTAAGATACTTAGAGCCTAACATCAAGAACCCTTCTCAGTGGGCTATACTATGAAGTTAAAAACTGGATTCATCCTATGCTCCAATCATTAATCTTTTTCTGTTTCCCTTTTACAGATATCATATTTTATAATTTTTAACCTGAAATTTCTCCCCAGAGCAATCAACCTAGCTATTTTTGTGAAATTTCTAGGGAAGTTTCAGATGGGAAAAATGTGGAGACCCATTTAGAGCCCCAGGGGTTCATACAAATGTTATTTTAAAGTGAAAACAGTTGAGCTAAATAAGCAGAAAAAAAAAAAAATGTTCTGAACATAACCTAATCTTACTAAAACAGAGATTTACCAAAGTCAGCTACCACAACCCCTAACTCTGGAGTGGTCTCCAGTCAGGGAAGAACTGATCTTAGGCACTAGCACATTCCAAAATATTGTGTAAACAAGGCTTATCAGAACCGTCCATTCATTAAAACCTGAAAACACCCCTTCCCTAAAGTTTGGTATGTAAACTTTATCCTTGGCTATTCAGTGAACTACTCAGTACTGAGCAACTGCCACATGCCTGTGTAAGTACATTTTGTCTTTTCCTCTGTTAATCTATTGTCTGTTAACTTGCAAGCCTCCAACCAACTGGACCCAAGTTAGAATAGGAAGTTTTTCTGCCAGCATTAAATACGCAGATTCAGTTATAATTCATTTTATGATTAAAAAAACTATGCAGTTAAAGTATGCACAACATCACATATTTTTTCTGCAATTATAAGCACAAAGACAGGCTGTATAAATAAACAAACAATAGAAGGTTGTAATCCAAAAGACTACCGTGGTGCTCATGAACAAATTAGGATAAGTAACTTTTTTGACAATAGCCTCTCCCACCTAGTCTCTCCTACGGCTTGTTACCTTACTGGATAATGGTATGGGCAGTTGCATAGGTTCCAATTAGGATATTTCAAATTTAGGAGAAACAATAGCTGTATAAATATAATGCTTACTCTTTCACCCTTAAATCAACCTTATGAATCTTTAGAGTCCAAAGAGAAAGGTCCCAAAGACTGGAAACGTTTTAGTAATATAAGTTAGCCTCAACTGTCACAATTTTAAAGACCATTTTGTTTTTTACTTCTGTGTATTTAAACAAATATTTCAAAACTCAAATTTCAATATTTCAAATATCAACCTTTCCTGTAGAGA